CACAAGCAGCAGGGATGACCGCAGCCTGGAGAGGATTGTCAGGAAAAGGCCATTCAAAAGTGTTGGGGACTTTCACAAGGAGTGGACTGAGGCTGGAGTCAGTGCATCAAGAGTCACCACACACAGACAGATCCTAGACATGGGCTTCAAATGTCGTATTCCTCTTGTCAAGCCGCTCCCGAACAACAAACAACGTCAGAAGCATCTTACCTGGGCTAAAGAAAAACAGACCTGGTCTGTTGCTCAGTGGTCCAAAGTCCTCTTTTCTGATGAGAGCAACTTTTGCATCTCATTTAAAAACAAAGGACCCCGAGTATGGAGGAAGAATGGAGAGGCACACACTGCAAGATGCTTGAAGTCCAGTGTGAAGTTTCCACAGTCTGTGTTGATTTGGGGAGCCATGTCATCTGCTGGTGTTGGTCCACTGTGCTTCATTAAGTCCAGGGTCAACGCAGCCGTCTACCAGGAGATTTTGGAGCACTTCATGCTTCCTTCCGTAGACAAGCTTTATGGGGACGCTGACTTCATTTTCCAGCAGGACTTGGCAGCTGCCCACACTACCAAAAGCACCAAAACCTGGTTCAATGACCGTGGGATTACTGTGCTTGATTGGCCAGCAAACCCACCTGACCTGAACCCCATAGAGAATCTATGGGGCATTGCCAAGAAAAAGATGAGAGACATGAGATCGAACAATGCAGAAGAGCTGAAGGCCGCTATTGAAGCATCCTGGTCTTCCATAACACCTCAGCAGTGCCACAGGCTGATAGCTTCCATGCCACGCCGCATTGAGGCAGTAATTGCTGCAAAAGGGGCCCAAACCAAGTACTGAGTACATATGCATGCTTATACTTTTCAGAGGTCCGATATTGTTCTATGTACAATCCTTGTTTTATTGATTGCATGTAATATTCTAATTTTCTGAGATTGTGGATTTGGGGTTTTCATGAGCTGTAAGCCATAATCATCACAATTATGACAAATAACGGCTTGAACTATCTTGCTTTGCCTGTAATGAGTCTATTTCATATATTAGTTTCACCTTTTAAGTTGCATTACTGAAATAAATGAACTTTTGCACGATATTCAAATTTTTCGACTTTCACCTGTATTCATAATGGACCTTATGAGTAATGAATGAATAGGCAAGGTCTCGGAGTTCCGAGTTGATATTTGAACTATTATCCTTTGCACCATGGATGTTTGAAATGTATATTCTTTTCATAGACTTAGTTACAAGTTTTAAAGAGAAGCTGGTAACCCTGTCTATCTGGCTGCTGGGTGAATGGTCATGTAAGTAGTTCTAAGTCTTTTTTTTTTTTTAACTAGTAGCCGACCGCAGTAGCCGAATGACGGCTGCACTGCGGCCGGCCAGTTCTGAGTGGACGTCATTTGACGTCCTCCCAGAACGCGCTCTCCTGCGCGCCCCAGGGGGCGCGCACCCGGCGATCTCCGTGATCGCTGTGTCCTACGGACACAGCTGATCACGTGATGTGGTAAAAGGCCAATCACAGCGGCCTTTTACCACGTGATCAGCGGTGTCCAATGACACGCTGATCACAGGGAAATGCAAGTGCTGGTTCTCGGCTGCACTTTCCTCACGCTGTCAGATCGTGAGGAAAGTACTGCCGAGAACCGGCAGTTGTCAGAGCGGGGGTCGGCACCGATCATCAGGGTCACTGATGATCAGTGCCCTGATGATCGGTGCCCAGCAGTGCTACCCGCAAGTTCCGCCCACCTGTGCCCAGCAGTGCGCCCACTAGCTCTGCCCACCTGTGCCCAGCAGATCACCCACCTGTGCCCAGCAGTGCACCCACCTGTGCCACTCTGCAGTGTCACACACCTGTGCCCAGAAGTGCCACCTACCTGTGCCCAGCAGTGCCACCCACCTGTGCCCACCCACCTGTGCCCACCAGTGCCACCCACCTGTGCCCACCCACCTGTGCCCACCCACCAGTGCTGCCCACCAGTGCCGCCCACCAGTGCCGCCCAGCAGTGCTGCCAGTCAGTGCCGCCAGTCAGTGCCCAGCGGTTGTGCCAGTCAGTGCCGCCAGTCAGTGCCCAGCAGTGATGCCAGTCAGTGCCGTCTATCAGTACCCATCATCAGTGTCACCTATCAGTGCCGCCTATCAGTGCTGCATATTAGTGCCGCCTATCCGTGACACCTCATTAGTGCTGTCTTTCAGTGCCGCCTATCCGTGCCACCTCATTAGTACTGCCTATCAGTGCCCTTTAGTGCTGCCTATCAGTGCCTATCAGTGCCCATCAGTGCTGCCTCATCAACGCACATCAGTGAAGGAGAAAAAATACCTGTTTGAAAAATTTTATAATAGAAACAAAGAAATTTTTTTTTTTTTTCAAATTTTTTGCACTTGTTTTATTTATAGTGCAAAAAGTAAAGCGCCCAGTGGCGATTAAATACCACCAAAAGAAAGCTCTATTTGTGAGAAAAAAATGATCAACATTTCATATGGGTACAATGTTGCATGACCGCGCAATTGTCAATCAAAGTGCGGCAGCGCTGAAAGCTGAAAATTGGCCTGGTAAATAAGGGGTATAAGTGCCTGGTAGGCAAGTGGTTAAACATAGGAGTTAGCCAAGTAGAATTAATTCAATTGGATATTGATCAAAACATACATCCTTCCAAAGCAGCTTTAGCCTTCCAGGTACATACAGTCTAAGGGTAGGGCTTCAAATCAGAATACCAATTGAGTTTCAACAGTACTTTTTGGTATCTAAATCAATAATTATGACAATATTTGCATTGGTATGTGCTGAAAGCAAATACTTTTTTTTATAATAAAAGATATATACTATCCAATGGGTCTTTAAGATAAAACGCTCAACAGCCATTTTAGTGGGTTTGTTCAGAAATTCAGGATTTAAAGGAGCATAATTGACAAAATCTCCTTGTCCACATACAGTATGATCAATCAGGGATGGTGTTCATCTGGCTTTATGTCTCCTGATGTTTATGTTTTAAGTGTTCAGACATATTATATTATGGAAAACATCTGTTCTAATTATTTAATTAGACATAGGCCAAAATGCTATAACACAGAGCAACCTATATACTAATGTTTTTAGTGTGAATATGGATATATTCAATCTATTAGCTGTTGCATTTGTGTATTACCATTCATGGCTTCCTACATAAAGAAATAAACTGTGTTTCTTTCAAGATTTGCCCCACAATGTCAGGGAGTGAGGAGCCAGACACACAAGGAGGTGCAATTAAAGGTAGGTTTATTAATATAAAAATAAGACAAGAGTCTATGCAAGTCCAACAGCGGAAATCGTAGCCAAAGCCGGGGTCAAGAGCCAGGAAGAATCGTCGCCAGAGCCGGGATCAGGAGCCAGGAAGAATCGTCGCCAGAGGCGGGTCAGGAGCCAGGAAGAATCGTCACCAGAGCCGGGATCAGGAGCCAGGAAGAATCGTCGCCAGAGCCGGGATCAGGAACCAGGAAGAATGGTCGCCAGAGCTGGGATCAGGAGCCAGGAAGAATGGTCACCAGAGTTGGGGTCAGAAGCCAGGAGGAGTCTTAGCCAAAGCCGAGTCGGTATCCAGGAAAGCAATGAGTAGCTAAACAGGAGCTTGCTGTTCTGCAACAGACATGACACGAATGCAATGGACAGCCACAAACAGCAGACTTATATGTGATAAGCCGCCACCTCCTGGGGGAGGAGCCACAGAGGGATGAAAGCATAAAGGATCCCACAATGCTATGCAGACACCTAAGATGGATGCCAGCACATGGAGCAGCACAAGTCTGAGGAAAGGTAGGACCTTGACACAGAAGACGTCTTTTGATGACGAAACGCGTTTGGATGAGCTTTTTGCTGACATCCTCGCACTTCACCACGTTCCAAGAAGTGTTTGTGTATGCCGGTCCGGTACATTTATTTACATGCACATGTATTTTTGTATCAAGTGAGTGCAATTTTTGGATACCAATAAAGCTTTTCTCTTTTTTACTTTTCAGAATGGATATGGTGACAATTGGTTGAGTGACAGTGTTCCTGGGGTCCATTGAGACGGTTACTGTACGTGACACCCTGAGAGATCATATAAGTGCTCTAAGACCACTCTTTAGTCTAAGGGTCATGGGAAATCAGTAAGAGACCATTGTTATATCATCTTGGGTGTTCCATTGGTGTTTGCACTTTTGATACAAGAATTGGAGAAGAATTGGGGTTTCATTATCCTGCACTCTCTGGATGGGATTACTTTTGGACTTTTTTTTCTTTTGTTTTCTAGTAATTTTTTTATATTGTATTTATTAGTAATTTTGAGCACAACACAGTTTATTATTATTTGTATGCACTAGGTTGGGTATTTTCTAGTTTATGTTTGCAGCTATTATTAGAGTGTTTATTTTTAGAACACTAGTGTGCGGTTTCTTTAGTTTTACATTATGGCTTCTTACATAGCCTTTCTACATAAAATGGATGTGTAAGGAACAGGAGTTTCATATACAGTCACTGACACCTCAGAACAAAGCTATGTGTAAGGAACGTGAGCTGCATGTTAATGAGAGAATCAATACACTCAAGTTCAGATTTGAGCCAAATAGAACTGTTCCAAATATCTTCAGATCTAGAATGTTTTAGATTTTATTTTCTAGCTATTTTGTTAATTAAAAAAAAAAAAAAAATGTAAATACATCCATCAACTCCATACTGGCTGATGACATTGGCTGGCCACACAGGTCTTTTAGAATTTAATAAAAAGTCAGGCTCAGAGGCAAAGAGAAGCCGTAAGGCAGGGGGTTTATTTACTACCTGTTTCTATATTACACGAGAGGTCCTTTGGAGTTTTTTTTTCCATAGAACATGCAATGTAAATACTTTAATATCTAAAGAAAACTATATAGAAAGTAAAAACCATTCCCCCATTCATTCACAGCTTCATTAGTTTAGACCAGCCATTCTTATGCAGGGTTCAATGGAACCTTAGGGTTTCTCCATTGATTGATAGGGGTTCCTTGAACTGTGGCTAATTGACCTCCTATTTGATGGTGCCTGTCATTTGACATAGCCAGTGGGATGAAACATCTGGCATGAAGCTCTCTACGCACTACTGTTGTGTTAAGTTGAAGGCCACATGAAGTTTGGAGGTCTTTAGCTATTGACTCTGCAGACAGTTGGCGACTTCTGCGAACTGTGCACTTCAGCATGCACTGACCCCACTCTGTCATTTTACGTGGCCTACCACTTCGTGGCTGAGTTGCTGTTGTTCCCAGTTTCTTCCACTTAGTTGTAATACCACTAACAGTTGACCGTGGAATATTTAGTAGCAAGGAAATTTCACGGATGGACTTATTGCACAGGTGGCAACCTATCACAGTACCACGCTTGGAGTCACTGAGCTCCTGAGAGTGATCCATTCTTTCACAAATGTTTGTAGAAGCAGTCTGCATGCCTAGGTGCTTGATTTTATACAGATAAAATGGTATAAAGTGAGCGCTCCTGAGCAAGCAGCTAAAGCACTAAAGGTAATCACAGTGTACCCATAAAATGACAAGTAAAACAGAGTGCAGCGCTAAAAAATATAAAGTGCAAAAAAATGGTCCGTGGTTAATAAATTGATTCATATGAGTAAGTCCCAAAAAGATAGCTGATGGAACCAGGAAACAATGGAAAGAATGCGCACTCACCGGACGCGCATGTTAAATGCGCATATAATTAATATTCACTGGAATCTTTATAGTAGATGAAGAGGGTAAACTTCAATCTGTAGGTCAATCAGCCTGGGAAAATATGTAGGAAGTCCGGAGGTCCCCTTAAGGATGGTATGGTGCTCAGCCAGAATCCAAAGCTCCGTCCCTCTGGTGGTGGTAGGTGAAACTACAGAAATCCTGCAAGTTGATTTAGCTCCAAATGGGAACCAAAAAGACAGGTGCCCATAGTGTAGTATTTAAAAACAAGTTTATTAGCCAAAAATTGTGATGAATACAGGGTAGTATATAGCTGTGTAAACTATATGATATACAGCAGAGTATGCAGCGATGATACTGGCCCTAAGTTAAAATGGCCACCGGGCTATCTCGTGGCTCCGCGCGGGAAATGACGTCATGCTCTGTCGGTTCCTCCTAAGGCCTTTCGTGCCAAAGCACATCATCAGAGGGGATACCAACCCCACCTGTGGCCATGGAGGTGATTGGAACACCTGAATTCAATTATTTGGATGGGTGTCCCTATACTTTTGGCAATATAGTGTACGTTGGCCCTTAATGAGTAAAATATCTTCTTTCCTCCTGTAGCTGGTCCCCTGAGTGATAGCATCACTTTCCAGTTACAGAGTGGCTCCTTTCCCTTTGCAGGGTCCTATGGAGATATCCCTGTCTGTACCTGCAGCAACTCAAACCCACAGCTCCACACCAAGCCACTCCCCTGCACCTCCGTCCTCCTTAAACCTACTTAATGGACAGATACAGGAGACTTCACTGTCCCTTACCATGTTACACAGTAACAGGAGGTTCAGGGAAGCTAAGGTAGCTGCAGATGGTGCTTTCAAAATGAATGCAAGGCGTTCTCTGGTTGGATGAAGTGAGGAGGCCAGACGCTGATGTCATGATCTCTGGCTTGCCCAATCACAGAATTCTTTGCTTTCATTGAGAAAATGCAGCATGTTCTGTGAATGGAGCCTGTGCCAAGGGAGGTATTCACTAAGTAGCACGTTAGCTGATCAGCATGGGACCCAGCAGTGCCCACTACAGTGATTTCCAGCTTCCACAGGGATCCCACAGCTATGGCACATATAGATGTCTATGGCCCAAGCTGGACTAACGTAACTTTGCAAAATAGTCCTTACCTGGAGTTCAGTTTTAAAGTGGTTGTAAACCTCAGATATGAAATATGAACAAAGCATATCCCTCTATAGCAGGCATCAGTAAATGGCGGACTGGGGTCCGGATGCGGGTAGAGTCACTGTCCCATCCAGACCCATGCAGTCCTGCCATTTAAGAGCCTTTTTTTACCTCAGCTGCCTCACGGTCATCCTCACAGAGCTGACAGCGGAGTCAGGACACCACTGGATGGAGGGTGGGAGCTGCCCGAGGTTAACAAGAAGGTGATTGGTTGCTAAGATGAAGGGCAGTGGGGGGCGAAGTTAAAGGGGAGAAGGACATTAGTGTGAAGGGGGGGCTGAGGACAGTAATGTGGGGGGCTAAGGACTGTGCTGTGTGTGGGCTGAGGACATTAAAGTGGTAAGGGCTGAGAACTGTAATGTGGGGGCTGAGGACAGTAACGTGGTGGGGCTGAGGACAGTAATGTGGGGGCTGAGGACAGTAACATGAAGGGGGGCTGAGGACAGTAACGTAGGGGGCGCTGAGGACAGTAATGTGGGGTCTGAGGACAGTAACATGGAGGGGGGCTGAGGACAGTAATATGGGGGCTGAGGACAGTAACATGGAGGGGCTGAGGAAAGTAACATGGAGGGGGGCTGAGGACAGTAATATGGGGGCTGAGGACAGTAATGTGGGGGCTGAGGACAGTAACATGGAGGGGGGCTGTGGACAGTAATATGGGGGCTGAGGACAGTAACATGGAGGGGCTGAGGAAAGTAATATGGAGGGGGGCTGAGGACAGTAATATGGGGGCTGAGGACAGTAATGTGGGGGCTGAGGACAGTAACATGGAGGGGGGCTGTGGACAGTAATGTGGGGGCTGAGGACAGTAACATGGAGGGGGGTTGAGGACAGTAATGTGGGGGGGGCTGAGGACAGTAATGTGGGGGCTGAGGACAGTAATATGGGGGCTGAGAACAGTAACATGGGGGGCTGAGGACAGTAATGTGGGGTCTGAGGACAGTAACATGGAGGGGGGCTGAGGACAGTAATATGGGGGCTGAGGACAGTAACATGGAGGGGCTGAGGAAAGTAACATGGAGGGGGGATGAGGACAGTAATATGGGGGCTGAGGACAGTAATGTGGGGGCTGAGGACAGTAACATGGAGGGGGGCTGTGGACAGTAATATGGGGGCTGAGGACACTAACTTGGGGGAGCTGAGGAAAGTAACATGGAGGGGGGCTGAGAACAGTAATGTGGGGGCTGAGGACAGTAACGTGGGGGGCTGAGGACAGTAATGTGGGGGCTGAGGACAGTAACATGAGGGGGGACTGGGGGCAGTAATGTGGGGGGATTATGTAAAAAGGGGCAGAGTACTCTTCAGTGAGGGGGGCAGAGGACAGTAATGTTGGGGGGGGGGAGTTGATGTCAAGGAAGTGTGGGAACACTACTATGAAAGGGGTGGAGGGGGGTGATGTTAAGGGGGAGCTGAGGACACTCATCAAGAGGGATCTTGCTGTGAATGAGGAGGGGACTGTGATGTGCAGTGGGGATTGAGGACACTGATGTGAGAACAGGTTCAGATCTGTACATGTACATTTGGTGCACACGTTGTAGGTAGGTCAGCACTACCTGCTAGAAACCTGAAGAAGTCGCCAACCCTTTTTTTCAAAATTGCATCGCAGCAACACGTGATTTGGGGCACAACAATGCACCACAAGGGCCTACATGAGATTCGGACCTCTGCTGCATGCAAAATTTTACTGACCTTGGTTTAATTCAATACCCTTGCTTTATCAGTGTGTACTTGTCTCAATTAAGAGCGCTAAGTGTCATTTCTGTTTGTTCCTCTGCTGTAAGCATGAATCACTTCTGTCAAGTTTTCTTGACACCAAGAGAAAAATGGTGACAGAGGAGGGATCTTCATCAGATTGACAGCCTCAGCTCTGTTCTTGTGTGCTGTGTAAAGGGAGGAGGGTGTGTCTCTTCCCTCCAATCAGCTCTCAGAGCTCTCCTCACTGATGTACCTTCAGCTCACCAGCTTTTCAGAGCTGAGAAATCGTGTGTAAATTCTGAGCTTTGAATGGATGTAGAGGAAAGATGGCTGCAAATAATCAGGTACAACTTATGTAGGAGGATTTGTTTCATCTCTGTGTATCACCTAAGGCCAGTCACTTCATTGGGTATATATAAGGGTTTACAACCACTTTAAGAAAAACTAAAAAAAAACTAGTGACACCCAAAAATGAGTCTGTCTAGACTGTGTATAAAGAACATGACTTGAGCATATAGCCACTGACAGCTCAGCTCTAGGCTGTGTGGAAGTTATATAGATGCTCAGTGACACACTGGCTCGGGGATATGTATACAGCTTTGATCACTGCTCCACAAGCTGTGTACAACCACTTTCCCACACAAGGGTTTTAATTTGATCTTTCAGAGAGATTTCGGCTCAGAATAATCCAGCTGCATTAATTCCTCTGTTCATTACTCTCTGTTAATTTGTCCTACAGCTTGTGGCCACTTACACAGACACTGAGATCCCTGGATTGTAGACAGCGGCTTCCAGATTAGAAATTTACTTGAAAACTAAACAACGGTCATTCATTATTCTGCCTATTTTTCTTTGTAACATTACCCAGTGATTAAAGTGTTACTAAACCCACAATGGTAAAATCAGTCTGTATATGCAGTAAAGCATGCTTGTTATATTCACTGTGGAACCTAAGGGGTTAATCCTTTGCATTGTGTAAAAAGGCTGTTTGATCCTGTCTTCTCTGATCTTCCCCTTCTTCCAGTGCCCCCTTCTTATCTCCTGATAAGACATATTCTGTGGAGTCACTCTGCACATGCTCAGTTTGGTGTGTATTGCTAGAAAGGTTTTTTTTTTTTTCTTGGGAGAGAGCATGCGATCAGCACTGGGCCAATCAGCACTGTCCAGACAGAGGTCAGGCGTTCTGCATCCTCATAGAGCAGAAATAAAACTCCTCCTACAAGACCCCAGATCTCTCCTCTGGCCTCCAATGAATCCAATCAGGCACAGATTAGGTTGATTGGCTGCTCTGCTGGCCGCTAACGACCGGGAAAACAAAGAACTGGGGTCACAGAGAGGGAGGAAAAATGTCAGTTACTCTCTCTCTCTTTACTGCTGCAGGTGCCGCAGGTCAGATTGGTCCTTGGCTCCCTGATTGGATGGGAGAGCCTGGGAAAGGTGATGGCAGGAGGGAGGGGCCCCCTTCTGCCGTCTGCAGAGGTTGATTGAGTGGCTGTTCAGCCAATCCAATTACTTCTGCTTTATAGGGAATCGGTTGCTGTCAATTTTGATACCGGATGATGCCTGCAGGACGTCATATGACATCCACCTGGGGAAAGGGGTTATTCTTCTTACATTTGCAGCTTCCCATTACAGGGTGACAAAGCTCTCTCCCTGGCTTCCAACTGCTCTCCTACGTTGTCAGTCTGTCCCATGGACTTGGAGACTTTATTAACGGAGCTGAAAATCTTCGCTCACAAAATCATGAATATGAGTACCCCGGAGGAAACCCACGCAGGCACAGGGAGAACATGCAAACTCCAGGCAGGTGGTGCAGTGGTTGAGATTCAAACCAATGACCATAGTACTGTCAGGTG